AAACAATCATCCAATTAGGTATCATTAACATTGCAAGACTATTATCTTGTAATACAAACAAAAACATTCATAAAACCACCGACCACGAGGTTTTAATTGACATGCATTAATGAAGGCTGCATTTATCTATGGTCTACTTATTTAAAGAATGTGGTAAATACTTCATTTTTTAAGAAAACACTGGATGACTACATTTAAGTTTTCATATGATTATTATTGGTTTCTGGCTTTTTCTCAACTGCGATTTTTTTAAATGTAACTTATCGGATTTACATTTTAAATATAGAAAATCGGACGAATTTATGGTAAACACAAACAAACAAACATTTAAAACCCCATGTAGACTAGGTTTTGGGTAGATCAATCGCTTAGAGCTTTCATCCGAATTGCGACAGCTTTATAGGTTTGAGTAAAAGCTGTGTTTCGCGCAACTGACGCTTTAAAACTGATTATCTAATCATTTTAAAGCAAATAATTGTGGAAATATGATTTAATTTGTTATAGGTACGTTCGGTTATATAAACAATCAATCAATCGATTACTATCTACTACTTGTCTATTGAAACAATGCTTAGGGTAAATAGTTACAATTTTCATTAAATCGGTTCGGTCGAACATTTCAAATAGTAGCTTTTCCTACAAAGTAAAAAACTTTTTTTTTAAATTTAAAGTATCTATATAATAGCTAGTCGGAACGAGTATTATAAGTAGAAATAATTTATATATGGTACGAGTATGTAATGTAAAAAAAAAATACTAGAACCGACAATAACACTAACAACAAAGAACAAATTATAAAAAATTGAAAAATAAACTTATAAAAAATTAGATCTTTGCAGCTAGTCGCCATCACTATATCAGACCTTGACCAACATCAATCAATAATCCTAGATAGAGTATCTAATACTGCTTATATTTCCACAACTTTAGTATGGAAAACGTAGTAACGCTTCATCATCATCATTATTAGCCCTTTTTTACGTTCCCACTGCAGGGCTCAGGCCTTCCTTATAGATTGTTAAGGAGGATGGGCCATGACCCTACACGCTGGCCCAATGCGGATTGGAGGGTATTAACGACTTCAAATGCAGCCGGGACCAACGGCTTAACGTGCATTACGAAGCACAGATAATACATTTTTGGGCACCCATCCCGTGACCGACCCTTGCGAAAGTTGTTTAACGACTACGATCGCGGGCCGCGGCGCTTATAGTAACGCTTGAACTCATTGAATTGCTTGTTTGAACGCCGTCTGCTAACGACACGGCTCAAATCGGCTAGTTTAAATCATCATTAAATTTTGATAATCAACCTTGTGACTTTGCAATAAGTGCTACGATACAGCAGATTCGTGTGGTACATCCAACCGCAGGGGCGAGAAGGGTTCCGTATTGTTTGCAAAATATTTTGAAAGCGTCATTTTATACGGCGTATTAGGCACTGCTTTTGATAGTTGGGGTTCTTCTTCACCGGTCCAATCATATCATCATTACGCATTGTGCTCTCCCCTGTGCTTCACCGTTGAAGCACTCATAAAGAAACTAATAAATCTATAATATTTTTAGTATTATATTACTATAGTAAGCAATCGGCGGCGCAGAAACCGAAATATTTCATTGTAGATTAGAACTTATTACCGACACGTAGCTTTCTTATTTGTTTAACTGCAAATTCATCTTGCAACAGTTCTCTCAGTTCAATTAAAATGGAAAATAAATAGTGTTTGAAACTAGCACTGCCTAGAAATGGATTCATTAATATCTTTCAAGAAATATATGGGCACATCGTCGTATACTTCGATGTCAATGCCATGCGTTTTTAGAACTTATTAAGCGTAGTTGTTAATATTATAATTAATTTATTTTTCGAAATAAGTCCTGCAACTCTATAGTATATACCATAATTATCACGTGCTTTCATTTATTTTAATGTACGTACATATAAGTATTTGTTATACTGTAAGTAGGTATATAATGTGTGTTATCGATCGTTTGAAATCTTGCATAAACGATTTGTCGATTGGTGTAATATTTTATAGTATTATATTTTGTCATCTAACTTTAAAGGCGATTTTTTTACCAAATAGAGCCGATTTCGTCATCTTCATTACTATTGCATTTGATATCACATTGCGAACATTTAATGTCATTTGGAAAACAACAATGCTGTTTATCCATTATTGTCTTTAAAATAAATTAATTACTCAGAGATTTATTTTATGTCATCAACTTTGTTAGGAACTGCTTTATTCCCATTTTCCATCTCTATCGTACGACAAAATTGCGCTCAACGCGACACTGCGTTTGTAACAGATTTTTTACAGATTAGCAATCGACTACCAAACTTTAGCACCAATATAATCTTCACTTTCTCAAGTTATATTAGGTATTTATATAGTAAAATATAAGGACACATTCCTACAACACGTTTTGTTGTTTTTTTTAGCGGGTAGACTCTAAGAAGTATACATAATCTCGTCATTTGACAGATGGCAATGAGTAACGCATTTTCCCAACGTCATCACCATCAAAGTATAATATCTTTGAACTCAGGTTTAACGCTCCCCAATGCTGGAATACAGCCTTGAAACAATCTTTTGTCGCTTATCGTCGAAAACTTAAAGTTAGTTAGATCAACCATTGTTGATAATTCAATAGCCGTTCGTTTGATATTTATTTTTTATTATTTATTGAGCGTCTTTGTCTCATTAATGATATACATTTATAGTTATGATGTAACGTCAAGAAGATCGTGCAATTCCACGGAGCACTTTCGCTTAATGCCATCTCATAATTGGTATATTATATCAATTGATATATATGAAGAATATATTGTCTAATATCGTTGACTCAAATTGATTTTCCAATTTTTTTTAAATTTATTTGTAAGCGCAATTCTTAAAGCATAAACTTTAATATTTTTTTTAAAACTAAAACTAAGATTTCAAAATAATGTAATATTCTACTTAAGGGATGCTCATGAACATATTAGGCGGAGATTTTGTGTCAGCTGTTATGTTTGTGTAACTGAGTTTACATCTTTATTAATTGGGAGAACGTTCCAGGTATTAAAAAAAAACGAAACTGCTTACCCGTTTTCAATATTTTTTGATGGGACCATCTCAGGCCCATAAAGTTTCGAATGACATTCGATTCGATTTTCTACATTTCGCTGAGAAATCGGAATCGGAATCGAACATAGAACCTCCTCGAATTTGAAGACAGTTTAAAAAAAAGTTATATTAACCTACCTACTTAATGTACTTCATATTTTCCATTTGCCCATAAGATAAATGATTTTTCGTTGATATATCTATATTATAATATTTAATATATCGATTTCAATCGTCCCACAGTACCCACCATTTGTACTGGAGCCCCGAGGCGTATGAATCCGATATTTTTATTACGAGTAAACTGATACCTCAGCCAATCGGTATCGGTAGCCAATGTCATATGATTAAATTCCAGTTTAAATTATAACGACTTTACTTTTATTTTAAATATGAGTACTAACATAAAAGTTTAAAGCTACTTAGGAAGCTATTATATGATTATAACTATATTATGAAAATGGATATATAGACTTTTCAGAGTTTATGCTGGAGTATTTTTTAAATAATTTTGTTTTATTTACCGTATTTTTTCTTATTTGTCTATATTGAGGGTCCGTGACTGATTTTTAAATATAAAAATGTGTATTTACCTAATGTTAGTTTTATATTACAACTTTAATAATGAAATATAATTTGCTAAAAAAATTTTAAGGCATTTTATTGGTGTTTATTTCTATTTTTTAACAGAATATAATTATAAATTCTTATCTGTAAAGAACAGAAAGAGATAAAATTACTTCATAATTGCTCACGACCAAGAAAAACTAATGACATGAGTAAAGTAATTACTTAAGTAAATATTTTTAATAAATAACTAAGAATTTTAAAGTAAGAACACTATTATTATTAGCTACGAGTATTAACAGTTCTTCTTTTAGTCAAATTCTCGTCTACTGGTGCCTATGCCATTTTCTCAAGTAATTATCTTAGTTTAAAAAATAATTCTTGTTTTAAAAATGTATTTATTATCTCATTAACAGATAGTATTACTAATTCAGAGAAAATAAGGAAAAATAAGCGAGACTCACTTAAAATAAATACTTAGAAAAATTTGTGCAAATAAAAAAATTACACCCCTTACATAATAAATGTCGAATAATTAAAAGCATAATGACAATGGACTCCTTGTCCACTACGACCTCACCTTGTCTACCAGCTAATTTATAGACAGTCATAAAACAATTCTACAAACTCACCACAAAAAATCCTATTTCAAACCTAACGCGAGATAATAGCGACGGGAGCATACAGGACAAAAGCCTAAACGCAACACTAGTGTCGAAAAAAAAACATCTGGCCATACTTCGAGCATACGAATTCCTGGATGTTCCCTTAAAAATCGATATTTATAGTTAAGTACCAATACTTTACCAAACAACAATAGTTCGTGTGCGAGAGGGACAGAACTGGGCACGGAACTGGACATTTTAATTTATGACATATTATTATAGTTTTTTTCTATCTAACATTACATAGCTCAGATGTATCTTTCTACTTTTGTAATGAATTGAAAAATGGTATGGGTTTTTGTTCGTACCGAGAATCGGACTTCACAAGTCGTCTGCGGACATGCGACGCCAGTTAGCATTGTTTGTGTTCCGATCGTATTACAACAAGGATCCTATCCGACAGTAACTTTTAAGTTTGATGCGATTGTGTCTGTCCGGTTATTGACGAGGCGTGTTCGGATATTGCCGCCATGGGAGCCTCGGGGGGCTGTCCATTATGAATTAATGAGAAACGAAATGTTTCGGTGTATCAACACTCTTTCGCCTGAATGGCGACGTCTCTATACCGGTTGACCGGACGTAGACCTTGACATTAGATTGTGATGAATCAATTTAATATACGAGATTATTAATTGGATGAAATGTAATATACTTACCGGTGTGTGTTCGCTTGTGGATTTTGAGGTTTTCTGATCTAGCGAATACTTTTCCGCAGCCTGGAAACGGGCAAGGGAAGGGTTTCTCTCCAGTATGAACGCGTATATGGTTCACTAGTTTGTATTTCGCTTTAAAAGGCCTTCCGTTTCTCGAACAGCCCTGCCAAAAGCAAGCGTGTGTCGTGCATTCTGGTCCTCCCACGTGCTCAACTGTTAGATGAGTGACGATTTCGTGCATGCTCGAGAATAGTTTATTGCACAGCTTCCTGGGCGGTGGTTGTTCCGGATCGAGCCACTGGCAACGCATGTCGCGCCGCGGCGGTGCTCTCACGTAGCGTAGGAACGCATGAGGTGCATGCGCGTGCGCATGAGGAACTAGGGGTGGGGCGCCACCTTGATAGTGCACGTCTCCCCGCCAATCCCAGCTCTGTTCGAGAGGTTGTTGAGGGAAGAGTTCGCCGCAGCCGCCGTATTCTCTTAGGTAACCGGATTGGTAGGAGTGTAGAGGGTACGGCTGGTAATGCGGAGGGTGGTGCGGGGGTGGATGTGGTGCGGCAGCTCGGTGTTGGGGTCCGACGCCACACGCGGGGTCCGGTGACATCTTCAGGCCATAAGAGGCGAGGTGTGCATTGGTTTCTAAGAAGGCATTCATGGCGGGGGCGGCCGGCGCCGGCGCATAGCCCCACTCGCCCGCCACCATCCACGCGGCGGGGGCTGCCCGCTGACACCGCTGTCGCTAACGTCGGCGGAACCGCCGCCGCAATCTGGTTAACGAATTTAAAACTCGTCAAATCCCCTTGCAGTTCCTCGCTACCATTACTCTCTTCGTACGATGACACTCTGTATAAAACAAAGAAAATATTATAATCATCATTTATTTATAAAACGTAAACGACCTACCTAATATCCGAACGAATCCTAACCAAAAGGCGATCATAACCTCCCGAGACAAATTCAAAACCATATCTCAAAATAATAACACACATTCGTGCACCCATAACCGGCGACGGGCGTTTATTCATAATAAAAAAAAATGTGAAGCAGGTACTTTTGGACATTAAATTAAACTGCGGGTAAATTTATAGGACATTTTTATACGGCTGAGACAAAAATTTCGATTGTATTCATGTATATTTAATTTTACTTTATTTGTTAGGCCTGGCTCCAATCTCTTTTATGACCGTGGTTTAGCGTCTATAGTTTATTAAAATAGTTTTATGAATGATAAACCAGTTTGCCGTGGTCAAACTGCATCGCCTGCCACTTTATTGCCGTTCATCCCTTTAGGTATAATTATCACGTTTATAGCAGAAAAACATGAGTTTTATACTTACTTAAGTTTGTATTTATTCTGTATTCGTCGTTGTACTTAAATGGTTATTAATGAAGTCTTCTATTAGCAGTAAAAAGTTAAAAAAGATAAGTAACATCTATTTGATTCAATATGGGGTTACATTGTAACTGGTACTTTTTTCTTTATAAAAAAGAAAACAACTTAATATACATTTTATGATTACATTTTTTACCCAACAATTCATGTTTGTAGGTAGGTATTATATTGTTTTCTTCACATAAACCGAACTTAATAATGGTTATAAAAAAATTTTATAATAATATCTATGGATGCTATGATATTTTCCATAATGTGATAATTAAGAAAACAAAATATCTTTGATGCTAAGTAAATAAAAATCTTAAATTTGTAAAATAGGTTAATGAAGATAAGGAAAAGCTAGCTTCATTCTTTTTTTTTTTAAGAATGAAGCTAGGTCTTGCGACTTTTCCCGCTTGGTCCTGTATTATACATTTAAACCTTCCTCTTGAACCACTCTGTATATTAGTGAAGACCGCATTGAAATCCGTTGAAAATTTAAAAGATCTCCGCGTATAATCGGCGGAAAATAGATATGTTTTATTGTAGGTATGTATGATGAAGAAATAATCAAATAATTATGGTATATACATACACATATATATATATACAATGTGATGTTTGATGATAAAAGCAAACGTGAAAACCACTAAGAAGGTTCAAGTCTCAACAAAAGAAATTGTTGAAAATATAAAAAAATATATATAAAAGGTTATATATAAGACGGCGGCAACTAAATACCAACTTGATATAAAAATATAAGAATCAAAAGGAATGTTTAAAAAATTCACTATATCCCATCTCAGAATGCCAGGGATAAAGTGGATTTTTTAAGCATTCTTCATTAAGAATATTATCAGAATGAATTTCAATTTAATAATAAATATTCAGGACCTATAATGGTACGGCTCGAGTTTACGAACTTTCTAAACAACTGATTAGTACTTAAGCTGATTAAAGATGTCTAATGTTGTTCACCACACGATAACCCACTGTTTAGGTCCTTGATTATGACATTAAATGTGCGAATAACATCAGATAGAGTATCCAAGAGAACCCAATTAATGCTACCAATTTCAATAAAAAGAAGTTTGACTAAGATTACACTCTTTGTTAGTACGTTTAGTGATTTATATTTGGGTTAAGATACAAGGAACGTCATCCAGGAAAAATAATATTTACCTACTCTCTAGCTTTTGATATATATAACACTGTGATTTAATTATAGTCTACTAATCTTTCTCATTTGTTCAAACAGTGACAGATTGTCCCTTCTTAATAGAGAAATATAAAACTTTTTCTAAATCGACCTTTACAACATACACGGATTGAAAACTCTTTATCTGACGGTCCTGTTATATATTTTTATTTCGCATCCTGCTATTGGTACAGGTTTTAATAACAGCATATATTTTATAAGTTTAATTATTCATACGGCGTGAAAGTAAACAAATTTCAGCCTTAAAATTCCCGTAGCTGATATAAATAGGCAGTATTGGCCACTTCTGTGACATATAAGAGAACATTTTAAGTGTCAATCATCGTACTGTTTATTTTTTTGCTTCCATAATCGTGTTAGTGCAAAATAATGTTGTTTATGTATTGTTTGGAACTCTTCATCGCCAAGCGGAGTGCGGGCCTACCTGGGCCGTTAAACAATGTAGTGCCTCTCAGATTTACATCTAATCTTTACATTATCTCGTGGCACCCCGCCGAGCACCCGCTCCGTCACAAAGCAATGGGTTGACAGATATCTACGGGCTGACATCGGCCAAATAGGATTAAAAAGAGTGTATTTCCACGCTGAAAAGTTGTACATACAGTTTTCTACCTTATACCGTTCCCGTTATGTTATAACCGATAATTTCAACGGCATTAAATTGTAGCTGTTATTCGCAGCTGTAGAACTTACAGTTTTACAGAATTAGTTATAATGACATTAAGGAGTATTCGGCCGAGCAAGATTATTATCTTAAAGTACTCCTTTACGGGAATTAAACGATGCACTGACGTATTTTATTGCTTTTTGTTAATTTTAATTCAATTAAACAAGAATCGTATGTTTTTTTTTTCACTTAATCGAGTTGACGTATGGCATGATGCTGTTATGAGATTAAAGACTCTATAAGTTGATTCATTTATTACGATCTTGTTTTTTTTTAACCCCTATCTATCATTATCATTTCCATGATCAGCATTAATGTTTTAGAGGCACCTCTCTTTTGAATGGAATCGAATAAGAAGAATGAGCAATTGTAACAAGTACGAATTAACAAGACACTTGAAGGTTATCCGATAACGTAATTACGTTTATTTATTTTCGAAACGCCTAATATGTCTTCAAAGAAACTCATTTAATATGCAACGAAGGAAGGAATAACAGACACTTTGATGCACAGATAATCTTTAAGGATATCATTAACTTAATATTTTGTCAAAATTATAGCCGTAATTAAATTAAGAACGATTAGAAACTTTAAGAATATTCGTTCTTCCACAAATAGAATAGGCCCTCAGGTGTCATGTTAATTTGTACGAAGTTACACATCACTGGGCAAAGTGTATATTGGTGTTAACAATTGTAGATGCATCCGGGATTAACGGCTTGAATTTATGGCCACCCATCCTATGCCCGACCCTTTAAAAAGTCGCTTTACCTCGGCATACCAGATTGAACTCTCTGATAATGGTACCATCAAACTACTCTTTCTACTCTTTATACTCGTAGTAAGTATTAATTCATTATTACAAGTAACATTATTTTGCTAAGGCCTTTAGTTACTATACAGTGATAAAAAAGATCTATAATAGTAACCATTGTGACTAGTTGTACTATAACGGTTATCAACAGAGCGATTTAATTCTATAATATTAAAGAACATTTACGTTATGTTTTTAGAACAAATCCTTGATAAAACTACGGCCTATTTAGGGCTGACAACATTATTATAAAACTGATTAGCACGCGTTATAATGTTCTTGAAACTTCTATAGTACCGAATTTTGCTACTTGGGATGTTAGCTAACTTATTGAAGGAAAGCTGACATATCGAATTTCATATCTATCGTCGGACTTGTGTGGTAAAAGAAAAATATTTTTACTGTTTGTCTTAAATGACTCTGATTATCTTTGATTATGAACCGTCCTTGGACATCAATTAATAAGTATTAGAATAAATTCATCTGTTCTTCAGCTACTTAGCAGCATATTTAGCGATGTAATTAAATTTATAGAATTTGTATGTATTTGTTACTTTAACATGATTTGAAAATATTTTATTTATAGGTAGGAAATTAATGAAAGTTTTTATTTGAGAGTCTTGAAAACTATTAAAAACGGACTTCTTTATTTAGGCGAATATCGCGTCTGCTAGAGAGGCTACCATAGTAATAAGGCCGCCTTTTGCGTCTATGATTCTAGTTATAACTGTTTATATTAAATTTTTTGCTGTGCAATAAAGTACATACGTATATGGATGTATCTTTTTATTGATTCCTGTAACCTAGGAAAAAAAATATTTTTAACCCTTTAAAAAAATATTTTTACTATTATGAGCTACAAAAAGGGGAATTTTCGTCAATTTCGTTAAATAATTAATAATAAATTACAAAACATATATATTTGAGATTTTAAAAACATATCCTTTAAAAGGCGACCGTTTTTAAAACCCACACACATTTTATACATTCATTTTTCTGTCAATGACTTACCTACACTAACCAAGCCAAATATAGTTTAGTTATAACCAAGATAATAATTGTCGTACGGACAGACATTCACGGGCAAATCTGAAAGGGATCCGTTTTTCTTTTTTTTGCTACCGAATCCTGTAAATAAGGAGATTCCGCTAACAAATATTAAGTATCAAATGAATATGAACTAGGGCTCCTTAGCACTGTCATATATTATTATATCATATGTCATATATTATATCTTCATGTCTCGTATGCTACCTGTTATAAAAACAGATTAATAACTGTAAAAATATAGAGCAAGTTAGAGTCGAGAACTTTGAGTTTTAACTGGGTGTCGAAAATCCTAAACACAGGGTCATTTTTGACCTGGGGACCAATTCTACTAAATAAATTTTGTTTAAATCAAATCGAAAACGGATCGAAACCGAACGAAACTACAGTTTTTAATGGTTTTCCTATTCTACAAAGTGACATACTATATTATCTGGAATTGTATATTATGTCACTTTGTAGAATAGGAAAACCATTAAAAATTGTAGTTTCGTTCGGTTTCGATCCGTTTTCGATTTGATTTAAACAAAATTTATTTAGTAGAATTGGTCCCCTGGGCCAAAAGGGCCCACGACGATAACTTGCGAGGGTTGACCTAAACTCTATGTATTCCGATCATTATAAGAAACCACAAACACACTGCTAGATTTTATTCTATCTAAAACGAAAGTTTTTGAGTTTTCATTTAATTGACAGGGTAGGAAACCTAATAGATCCGAAG